AGCTCACTCCCGTCGGCATAGAGTGGCTGCACGAGCACTCTTACAGCAGCACAGCTGTATCGGTATAGCTGTGACGCTGTAAGTTTTTAAGTGTAGACATTGCCTTAGGTATGTCTACACTAAGAAATTAGTTCGATTTTATAGAAGTCAATCTTTAGAAACCGATTTTATATAGTCAATTGTGTATGTCCCCACTAAGCGCGTTAAGTTGGCAGAGTGCATTCTCAATACCATGGCTAGCATCGACTCACGGAGCGGTGCACTGTGGGTAGCTATCCCACAGTTCCCGCAGTCTCTGCTGCTCATTGGAATTCTGGGTTAAGCTCCCAATGCCTGATGGGGCAAAAACATTGTAGCAGGTGGTTTTGGATACATGTTGTCAGTCTCCCCTCCCTCTCTTTCTCCCTCCCTCCGTGAAAGCAATGGCAGAGGATCATTTTGCGACTTTTTTCCTGGGTTACCCGTGCAGAGCTCATAGCATGGCAAGCATGGAGCCCACTCAGTTTACCGCTGCTGTTGTGAGCATTAAACACCTCGCGCATTATCCTGCAGTATGTGCAGAACCTGGCTAAGAGATGCCAGCACGAGGACGATTGTGAGGAGGACATGGACACAGACATTCCTGAAAGCATGGGCTGTGGCAATTGGGACATCATGGCGGCAGTGGGGCTGGTTGATACAGTGGAACGCTGATTCTGGGCCCAGCAGACAAGCACAGACTATAGATTCTTTAGGGCAGGGATTGTCTATTACACCATATTTGTACTGTGCCTAGCACAATGGGGCCTAATCTTGTTTGATCCCTAGACACTACCATAATAAATAATAATAAAATGCTGATTAGCATCTTGCTTCACAAATAGTACCATTGAAATCAATGGGTCAACTCTTGCAGTAAGGCACTATTTAAGGTGATTAAGGATATCAGAATCTGGCTTGGAGTAAATGAAGTCTGATTGTCCTGATGTTTTGCAGACGTATACTTCTTGGTACATACTTGGGAGCAAGTTTTGTTTAAGTTAGCTGCTTGAGAGACTGCCTCCCTCCCTGTGCAATACCCTGGCACCCATGACCATCGTGGAGACTTCAGCTAGCAGTCCCCTTGTTTAAGAAGAAAGGGGATAGCAAGAGGACATTGTCAATTGCAGGCCCTGAGCTTTGGCATTAACTTCCTCTCCCTTAGTTCACCAGAGCCCAGATCTAGAGACCCTCAGCAGATGCTGCAAAACATGCCTCTTCTCCCAGGGTTTTATCTGGGGCAGGAGTCCAGAGTACAGTGTGAATGATCCGGTGGGGTGTCGGGGCATGGATAATGAGGAAAAGTTCATTGTGGATGCTAGGGAAGGATTGTTACTATCCTTCCACTATATACCATTAATGTCCATTCGTTTTTAAATCTATATTCCAGATTGTCAAGAAAATATGGACTGATTCTCCAATTAACATTCCCTTGATTATGTACCTGTTAAAATTTTATGTCCAAGGAGAGCCATCATTGTCACCAGGATTAAAATGATTGCTGTCAGCAACATGATCCTTATGGAGTTTTCATCGTCTTCTTGACTCCGGGAAGATAATGCTGGGAAAAATGTATTTGTTGTTATGGAAAATGCACATCTGAGAATAAAGAATTTCTAAATAGTGACTCTATTCACTAAAAACATAACACTTGCTGCAGACCACAAAGTGCATTTCTTGAGGCTTCCAAACAAATAGCTGGAACTAGGAACTGCCTTACTGGATCACAATGAGGTCCATTGGGGGGAGGGATAGCTCAGTGGTTTGAGCATTGGCCTGCTAAACCCAGGGTTGTGAGTTCAATCCTTGAGGGGGCCACTTAGGCAACGGGGGAAAATCAGTACTTGGTCCTGCTAGTGAAGGCAGGGGGCTGGACTCGATGACCTTTCAAGGTCCCTTCCAGTTCTAGGAGATAGGATATCTCCATTAATTTAATTTAATCAAGTCCAGTATCTTGCCTCTGAAGTAGCCAGTGTCAGTTGCTTCAGAGGAAGGTATGTGAACACTGCAGTAGGCAAATGCAGGATAATCTGCATGATACATTAGATCTCATCTTGATCTCTAATAGATAGAGATTGGCTTAAAACCTAAGGTTAAGTGTTTGACTTTATGCGGTATTGTATTTTTCAAAGAAAATGAATTACCAAGTCCCATACAAGCACTCCCTCAGAGCTCTGCTGCCAGAATACAATTACAGGCCCCAACGTTTTTAGAGTCAGGCTTCTTAAAGTGAACTGTGAAGTGCTTTTATGGTATAAGCATTAATGTGCACTAGGAATTATATATCTAAAGCTATGTTTTCAAAGGGTCTTATGAGCAGGTGATTTTCCCATCTGCTTTTAACACTCCATAGGCCGTGTATGGTCTCAACCCTCACCCCCTTCCTGTGATATGATTTTATTACAGCAACTGAACAATAAGATGACAAAGTGTAACTGGAGCCTTCTTCCCAGCTTGACTGCATTTAGAGTTCTCAGTTCAGCGCGTCTCCTGTTGTGCCTTGTGCCTTAGATCCAAAATCCCTGTCTCGGGGCTATCCCTGCTGTGAGCCTAGATCTGAACTCACTACTGCTTATTGCTAGGACTTAAACTTACACACAGTTGAGCCCATCATTGTATCTGAGAACTTTTCAAACCATTAATGAATTTATCCTCGCAACACCTCCATGAGGTAGGGAAGTGCTATTATCCCCTTTGTACAAATGGGGAACTGAGTCACAGAGGGATTAAATGACTTGCCCAGAGTCACACAGAAAGTCTTTGGCAGTGCTGGGAATTTATCCTTGAAGGTTTACTGAGTTCCAGTTCCGTGTCTTAGTCACAACATCACCCTTCCTCTTACTTACTGGGTAAAGAGAGCAGGATTTGACCCTGAAATCTGCAGCCCAGAAGGATGGGGATTGTTGTGTCAGTCCCAGGAGACCCTGATTCTGCTGCCAAACCCATCTCATCTATTTCAATCTTTCATGTGACACATTATTAGTACTTACTGCATTGGATATCACAGATCTGTAGTGGAACAGAATAATCTACATCTGTCCTCCAGCCCTTTTAAAAGAAAGAAAAAATGGTTATTTCCCTCTCAACAATATGGTTAATGATCATTTGTTTTGACAAAATAAACATTGGCTTGTTAGTTTACTGAAATGAATGCAGATGTTTTTTTAAAAATCTGTTTACTAGTTTAGCTTATACACCTCTACCCTGATATAACGCTGTCCTCGGGAGCCAAAAAATCTTACCGCGTTATAGGTGAAACCGCATTATATCGAACTTGCTTTGATCTGCCGGAGTGCGCAACCCTGCCCCCCGGGAGCGCTGCTTTACCGCGTTATATCCGAATTCGTGTTATATCGGGTTGCGTTATATAGGGGTAGAGGTGTACTTGTGTCACTCTTAGTCACTTTCAGGGTTATAGAAGATAGCTACTAGGGAATTTTCTGTTGGGATGATTGTCTGATGGAAAATAAAGGTTCCCTGGCTGACTTTCTAGATGGCCCTTGTCACTTTCACTTTCTGACTAAAGGCAGAAAGTGACAATAGCCTTCCAGGCCAGCTGCCAGAGGCAGAGCACCAGAAGAACTTTCCACCTCCCCCCACCCCCAAGGCCCATCTGATTCCGGACGTTTGTTTTTCCAAAAAGTTTTTTTTTTTTTTTAACAGTGTGTCTAGCATACTTTTGGGTGCTATACAATAATAATAAAAATATTTCTTAAGTTTCTGGTTCAGATACTCACAAAAAACAAATGTAACACTCACTTTCCATGTGGAATCAAACCTTTGAGTTTCAAATTCATTTTCTATTAACATATCTGTTAGTAAACTCAGTTGTACAGATACATGCTGGCATTTTCGTACATTATTTGCCCAGCTCTGTTTCAATAATAGTCATTTAAATGTGTATCGGTGCACGTCTGCTGTATGCTGTATGTCTCCTTGTTTACTATTGTATACATATGCCTGAATGCACTAAAATCCTTAGACTTGTTTTTTAGAAAATGTTAATACATTTATTTGTTACTTCCCTCTGCCCTTCTGACTGTAATCTTTCCATCATAAGAGGTTATATAGATGGAGGGGTTAATTTAACAGCCCTTAATATTCCACTGTTTGCCATCTACAAAAATAAGAGATCAAGAATGGTCCTCTACCTTAAATAATTAATACAAGCTCAGCAAGGGACAATAGCAGCACATTCAAACTATTAATAATGCTCTTTGTAACCTACAACTGGGTCATGGCCAGATTTGGCTGGGAGGAGGCAGCTGCAACACTGCCTGCAGTTTCTTATTTCCACGCCAGCTTGTTTATTTAGCGCAGAGTATATCTACAAATCAGCAGACCTACCTGAATGCATACTTGTGAGCCACATATTTCACCTGAAATATTGACAGATGTGGGATGAGAGTCACCCTGATGAAAACAAAGTGGAAAGCTGTTAACTCCATAGCTCTTGGGCAATCAAAATGCATTGTCTCCCTCCAGCTCTTTGGCTTTTTTGTCAGTAATGTTACGTATTTGACCACCTTAAAATTTATGGCAGATTGTTTTCATTATTGAAGGCTCTTTTCCTTTTAAGAACTTCCCTCCCCTATGGGTATGGAATGCCCTGAGCACAGTGCAGCCAGTTTGGTTCTGCTGCGTAGAAGGTGCAGGATTTGGGGAACCCATGAAGAGGGCCCATATCCCAGCACATTATGGAGCACAGTACTGTGTCTGAGTGCATAAAGTGGATTTGAGGGTGGACCAGGAAGGGAGACTGGGCAATGATCCACTTTCCATTTCCCCCACACGCCCAGAAGGGGAGAATGCCAGTCATAGAGTCTGCTAAAGATGGGAGGCTATGGCAGGAGCCATCGAAGACTTCTACTTGTACTCCATGGCCTAGCTGGGCCAGAGGGGAGAATCCCGTGTGCTCCAGATCTCCCCATCCCACAGCCAGCTACTCAGGGTGTGTTCTGAGAACAGGATTACCCTGAGGGTAAAGTTGCCCTAAAAAATTGTTCTGCTGCTTAAAATATTGTTATTTGTGGCTTGTGCACAAAAAAGAAAATGACTAGTTCTCTGGAACGATGGGCCCTGCACTGCTTTTCCTTTCTCAGCAAAACTCCTGTTGAAGACAGGGATAATTTAGGTAAATGTTGCCTTAACCCAACATTATTGTGAAGACATTAATATTGAGGCTATGAACAATTGTTTATGGGAACAATGGCTCAGTGTTAAGTCATCATGAGACCCTGATGGAAATTGCTCATGGTCTTGGAGCAGGAACCATGTGGAATCTACGTGAGTTCCCATTGTATCGTCACTAAAGAGAACAGATCAATCTGTACCACAGGACTATGGAAACAATGGATATTTCTGAACAGACTGGCACTCTGTGTGCTATGTCCAGTTTCACAATAATATCTGGCTCGGATCCAATCCTACTTAATCATTCCTCTTACCCATGAATTTTCAGTCATCTAACCTCAGGAGGCCATTAAAACCAGTACGTCTGAATCTTGCTGTCCTTATTCAGGCAAAAATCCCACTGAAGTCAAGTGGTCTCCTGTATGTAGTGCTTATTTATTCTTCTGCTTTACAAATCCCAGACTTCTGTTTTCCCTTTACAGCTATTCTGTTTAGCTCAAATGCATATGTAGCTATATTAGAAACGGCAACAAAAATACATTCAAAGAACGCTGTTTAGGTTGCAAAGTCAAACACCAGAAAATTAGGAAAAGCCAGCTTTATGTTTGTCCACACAACCTTAATTCTGCCCCCTGGTGTTTCCCATCCTGGGCACTGAATGAGTCAGGGATCATGTCAAAAAAACAATACATCAGGATGTAATTACAGACTGTGTCATAAAATGCTTACGCACAAGGGGGATGAATTAAAGTTACACGCAACTGCCAATCGGATATTTCCCAACTTTCAAGTGCTTCACTTGATACGTGCAATCTAAATAATATTCTCTTAATCCACAATTTTAAAATAGAATTTGTTTTTACCTTGCCTTATCCTTTAGGAAACCCTAAAATTACATTTTGCACATCCTCATAGAACACTGAACAGTCAGCATTGCTACCATTCAAGCTATAGGACTAATTGCAGTGATTGGGGACAAAAGAAAGCTGTTATACCAGAGGAGGGAATAGATTGCTGAGTTATGTGGTTGGTTAGTGGGGAAGGGAGGAACTTGGGCCAGCTCTCTTTACACACGCACACACACCCTTGGGAGTTGGGGGAGTTTCACCCCATGTGGTGCTCCAGAGGTGATATGGGCCACTGGGCCCAGATACTGGGTTCAGGGCCTGGTTGGGGGAACCTGGTCTCATTCTCTTCTTCTCTCTCCTCCATCCTCCTGAGGAGTTGGGGGAGCTCAAGCCCTATGTGGGTTGCCAGAGGGGCAAAGATGGGCCTCTGGGTCCCAGGCAAGTCCAGCCTGATTCCTGCCCCATGTGGTGCCCCCAGAGAGGGTGCCCAGACTAGACCAGCTCTCTCCTCTCCCCCAGCCAGAACATCTGCTCTATGAGCTCCCAGTACAGTGTCTGCTGCTGACGCTGTGCTGGCAGCAACATGAAGCCAGCCATAGAATGTTTGTGTATAATTATTATTTTGATATGCTGCCAAAACCTTCCTGAGGAATGTAATGGAGAGAGGAGAAATGGCAATTTTTAATCTCAGCAAAA